GGAGTCGCGAACTATGAACGCGGCCTTACGATTGCTACGACTGGTCGACCGATTATGAATGCGCCTCAAGACACATCAATTTACGCTTCGACGTTCGGTCAGCATGCGATGCAAAACGTCGGTATCTTTCTTACGCGTGAGCACGATGCGGCAGCACGTCCGGGTGTGGTTCACTAGGACAGAAAGCGACTTTTTCGCGTTTCGCAGCGCGAAACATTGTTCGCTGCGGGAATCTCGGGTCCACTGATGACCAGTGGTGGACCTGAGGAATGTTCCGCATTGCTCATGAGTTTTTCTCTCCCCTTGTCATCGGCTTCAAGCGCTGAAGAAGGCAGAGCACTCTTCTTGAGCACGAGAACAACGTGCGTTGTGTGCGTGCGACCGTATCCACGCCATAGACGCGTGGAAATACGCCTAAACTATTCCCGTATCGAATTTTCCTTCTCATGTCTGTTTCATCGTGTACTTGTTACTTCTGTCCGTTGAAGATGTACAATTTGTTTCTTGTGAAGTGAGGCTCATTCATACTTGCTAGTTGTTCTTGTGGATGAACGTGTCATTTTTCACCCTTTCGCTTACGTGTTAGTTAATGTAATTGTTGGTCTTGAAAAAGACATCCGTAATTGATATCCATCACTAAACAGGTCTTTTTGTACATCTGTAACTATCAAACGAGTGTCTAATCTCGGCATATTTTTTCTATTTTTGCGAAGTTTATTGTGCCTTGGTACCCCATGAGCGCAGTGTCATGCAATGGGAGGATTGTACCTCTGTGATCTCTCTTGCTTCTTCTGCTTCTGATAATTTATTTCTAGCTTGACTCTGTTTTGGCAGGTCAAACTCTATTATCTTTGCGATATCATTCAAATGATAATGCGTCGTAGGCGTTTGCTGCTTGAGAGGAATCATTTTGTGTTGCAGTTTGGTTGGAATGGCTCGGTCGAGATCACGTTCACCAAGACGAGATCGAATTGATGATAGAAAGAAAAAAGATAAGAAGCGAAGAAGACGAGATGGATCAAGCGACACTTCTGAATCACATAAACTCGGAAGCATACTCCGGGAGCGATCACGACGAAGTCGGAGCATCAGCCGAGAAAGAGAGCGGGATCGCGAGCGAGAACGATCGGAGAGGGATCGCGATCGTGACCGGGACAAGGACCGTGACAAGCGAAGGTATGTTCCATATCATAAATACAAAAAGCTAATTCGGCCAATATGCAAAGTGGACCTTGCCCAGAATTACTTCTATTGTCATAAAAACTGAGGAACCGCTTCCGCGCTATCGCTCTTTAGATGGCGATTAAAAAGTGTTTTTGTGCCCTCAATTTAAATTCCTCAGTCGCTGAAGGCTATACATGATTTACAAACCGTCATGCATCTTGGGAACTGGTACGTGCAAGCTCGCCAGCTTTGAAAGATGCTACTTTTTCGGGCACTACCGCAAGATACGGGAGCATTGGCATCTGAGACAGAGTAAAACATGCTCTTTTTGTTGAAAACGGGACTAAGCCTAAGTGTGAGAGGACATGCTCCAGTGAGCCATTTTCATTTTTTCGGAAATACTGTTCCCTCCTAGGCATAACTCTAAGGCCGCGTTCATAGTTCGCGACTCCGGAGATTAGGATAGTACGCGACAATGAAAAACATATGTATTGACGGGGAGATTAGGATAGTAGTAGAGTATTTATTTATTTATTTATTTACTTGCACGACCGGTGTCCAAGAGCATAGTCCTTAGATGGAAACAAATAATAATAATTAGTCCATCAAGCTACGAAAAAAAGCCAGATAGAAAGAGGTTAACTGTAATAACGAAACCTGGTTGCTTTGGAAAAAAATCCTCCATGAACAGTGCATGCTTCAAAACTGAAGTGAAGTCAAGCTAATAAGGGTTGCGAGATGAGTGAGATCGATTAAGACAGCCTAGTTAAGAACCATGAAGATAACCAAGCCCAAGGCCGCAGCATGAGGGCGGATGCCAGTGCATCTCATTGACCTAAACACGGACCCAGCACGCTGGCTCAGTGGTGCTCCAGAGCAATTAACTGAGCGAATAATTAAAGATGTACTCCGATCCTATCATTGACGTAGTAGCAACCCGGGGTCGAATCAAGAGACTGCAGAAGACCCGCTTCATCAAGATTAGATGTAAACGCAAACAGCAGTATAGTGAAGCATGCAAGTCCATAGCGAGGAAGCATTAGCTACATTGAGTGGACAACATAACAGGAAAACCTCTCTCTAACTGACTCGTATTTCAAGTTACCGACGTGCGCAATCGACCGAATGTGTTAGCAAAGAACAGATCAGCGTCACAATAGTAAAGAAAACAAATGCAACAAAACAAACTTGTACAGAACTATGGAAACCCGTGTTAAATAAACAAGGAATCAATAAAGCAAAAGTTAGAACACTAGAAGTCGGAGATACCAAGCAAATTCATAAGATCTAATTTCAACAGTCCTCTTTTGAAGAGT